CTTTGATCCAGGGTTTACCTGTAGAACCCCTACTTCTTTATGAAACAAAAGCTTTTAAGAGAATAATGGTAATAATAAAAGCTAGCATTTACGAAGTGCTTAACCTGTGTTAGGCACTGTTCTGAGTGCTTTATTTATTTATTTTTTTTTTTTGAGACAGAGTCTCACTCTGTTGCCCGGGCGGGAGTGCTGTGGTGTCAGCCTAGCTCACAGCAACCTCAAACTCCTGGGCTCAAGGGATCCTCCTGCCTCAGTCAGCCTCCCGAGTAGCTGGGACTACAGGCATGCGCCACCGTGCCTGGCTAATTTTTTCTATTTTTAGTTGTTTGACTAATTTCTTTCTATTTATAGTAGAGATAGGGTCTCGCTCTTGCTCAGGCTGGTCTCGAACTCCTGACCTCAAGCAATCCTCCCACCTCGGCCTCCCAGAGTGCTAGGATTACAGGTGTGAGCCACCGCGCCTGGCCCTGAGTGCTTTATAATAACTCATTTAATTCTCGCAACCTGTAAGATGGGGACCTTTATTTTCCCCATTTTACTGATAAGGAAACTGAGGCAAAAAAATAGTCATATGCTTACCCAGGTCCCATATTATTGCTGGTTGAGCCAGCATTTGAGTTGGCATTTGAGCCCACGCTTGTAACCACCACACATTCTATTATACTAACTTGGTGGGCTTTACCTAGGTGGGTCATGTGAGGAATTAATTGTGGGATGCAAAATTGGCAGCAGGGAGACAAGTCAAAAAGCTGTTGTCTAGGGGCAAAATGATGAGGACCTCAGCCAGGGTAGGGCAGGGGCAAGAGATTGCTGGGGACAGATGTAAGAACTGGTTAGGATGTGAGAACCAGCAAGTCAATGAGAGAAGGAGAACGAGAGATATCTAGATTAGACTGGTACCCTGGTGCAGAGGGGAGAGAGTGAGCCCCATTTAGACATGTTTGGGGGGTGGCATCCAGAGGAGATGTCTAGCAGACAGGTGGATAAATTGGCCTGAAAGTTAGGAGAGGTATGAGCAGAAGACGTAGCTCGGTCACACACGCATTCATTTGGGACATCAGTGACCAAGGAACAAATGACCTCCACTGGTGCTGTGGCAAAGGCTTCCTGGGAGAAGCTGGCTTTGAGCCAGGCCCTGAAGAACAAGAATGCTCTGAGAACTGGGGGTACGGGGGGCAGAGGAGTGAGGGAGGGATGTCATTGTGATGAAGGGTCTACCATGGAGGAAACTGGGGAGTAGGGTGGGCAGGTGCTGGGTATGGACAGGAACCGGAAGGTTGTCAGGGAAAAGCAACAAGAAACTTCGAAATGACTTGTGATGACTTCTTCCTCCTAAGTCTGATAAAAAACGAAAATTTTTATGAAATGTCTTAGGCCGGTACTCAAAATTTCTCCAAAGTAATTTCTTAAAACCAGTGTAACAAGGAGATGTATGCATTAAACTACCTTTAATATCGTAAAAGGCCTTGTTCTTGGATGCCACTGGGAGACCTCTCATGTATGTCTTATCAGTGGAAACATTCAAAGGGGCAAACGAGGAAAGGTGGTGAGAGGTAAAGTCCTGGTCGAGAACAGAGAAGCATCCGGACCGCACTTGCGTGTGCAGGGAGGGCGAGTGGTCAGGCCAGGCTGCCAGATGAGAAAACCGATGGGAGCATTGTGCCAGGGAAGGGACGCTTGTTTGGTACCTTCTTTTCACATGGGCCTCCTCTGGTGCTGAGGTTGGTGGGTATGTTCTCTCTTGGTGACAGTGTAGACAGGAGTGGCTGTGGGCTGTGGCAGTAGCCACATTGACTTAACACCACTGATGTGTGGTTTGCTTCATGGGCTTGGTGTGAAGAAGCATAGGAATAAGTCTGAAGGTTTAGAGTTAGAGGTAGGATATGGTTTATGGTTTCTCCTGAGCGTCACACAGTTGCTGAAAGTTTAACAAGACTATTTGCTTTCCCCCATTGTCAGAGCAATATATAAGTTACCATAAAGCATTGGGAAAATATAGAAGAAATGTGAACACCCATAGTCTGACAATTACTGTTGACATTTTGGCATGTTTATAGCCACTGTTTTCTCAATTATAATCTTTCTTTGTTTCCTTACTTATGATTAAATCAGATACACTATTCTATATCTAGCTTTTTGATCAATTTTATAATATAAACATTTGTCCATTAAACTATGGATTTTAATTTCATTTATCAACCAAAACTCTTTTACCAGATTATGAGCAAATCAAGGGCCTTCCAGATGGTAGCTGGGGGAGAGGTAGCAGCTGGGCTGGAAGACAGTAGGGTCACTGGATCAGAGGGTGCACGTCTTGAGCCCTATTCAGGAACAAGTGAACACGGAGGGTCGCGAGGCTAATAACGCTGGTCCTGAGGAAATCCTTCTACTTCCTTGCCTGGCCTGATTTTAGAGTCCCAGCCCAGTCCAAGAGTGATTAGAAAATTGGAAAGTCCCTGAGCCTCCCAGAGATTCCTGCAGGCCCTAGAGCTAACCTTATTTAACAGGAAGAGGCCTAGAACCTCCTATAACTGTGGAAGTGAGGCTGCCTGGGTTACTTCATCTCCTCTCCTCTACAAAGAAGGGAGAACCTAAGTAAGCTGCCATTACCCCCTGCCAGGGGCGTGCAGGCCTCCCAGTGACTCAGCTAACCAACTTACTGACTCCCACAGCTCTGTCTGTAGCTTCTGTATAGTAAGTAATTATATGGTAGAAATTACAAGTAGCTTACTAGTTCCAGGTTTAGGAATTTTTTCAGTATATAAGTTAGTTTGTTAATGAGTTAGCTCTAGTTAGTTGTGGGGAAGATTTGTGTGATCCAAGGATGAAAACAGGATCTGGGAAGGTACTTTTTGCAGGCTGCTCAGTGTCTCTGAGACTTGAACAAACATCGTATTTACTTGAAGAGAAATGTGCTGTCAGCAAGGGAAAAGTTAGATTTTTTCCTTCCCCTGGATAAATTACTTGAGTGTGGCATAAAAATTAAAACACCCAGAGTAACAATGAAACGGTTTAGCCAATCATTTATATTTAGTACAAGTTTATTGCAATGCTTTTCTTTTCTCCCCAGTTGGCATGCTCCCTCCTTCTTAAGCTGACCCAAATTGTTTCAAGATTGTCTTCAGCATGGCACATGGGGAAATCACACACTTTGGAAGCAGGCCCACTTGGGTTTGAGTCCTGGCACAAGCAATTACTGGTTTTATTTTCTCAGCAGTAAGATGGGAGCAATAACAACTCTCTCCTTGGGTAGCCGTGAGGATTATGTGAGATGAGGTTTGTGAAATGTCGGAACCTAGAGGGTTGGCCCTTAGAAAAGAGTGGTCATTATGTCTTCCCACCACTGCTGCTCAGAAGACCCCCATGCCTGGTAGTCCCCATGGCTGGCCTGGCCTGCCTTTGGGACCTGAATGAGATGACTGGTGCTCTGTGACGTGCATCCGAGGATTCATGGGGAAGATAAAACCAGCCAGCGTTCCCAGGGACTTAGGTTCTAAAGCTCATCTTTAATGAGTAGGGATCTTAAATTCGTACTTACTGGGCCATTTGCCCAAACCTAGGCTAGAAACCATCCATATCTGTGGAATTGCTGAAAAAGCTTTCTTTCTTTCTTTCTTTTTTTTTTTTTTTTTTTTGAGACAGGGTCTTGCTCTACTTACTGGGCTAGAGTGCAGTGGTGTCATCATAGCACACTGCAACCTCAAACTCCTGAGCATGAGCGATCCTGCAGCCTCAGCCTCCCAAGTAGCTGGTAGCTGGGACTGTAGGCATGCACCGCTACCCCCGGCTAATTGTTCTATTAAAAACAGCATTTCAATCCTTTTTCAGAATTTCCATCTGAAAACATTTGGTTTTGCTGCTGGCAGAAGAGAACCCCAAAACTTTTAGCAAAGGTTTTGTGATCTCTTGGGAGGAAAGGTACTATACAAATCACTTATAAGTACACAAAAAGAGGAATTGTGCCAGAATTGCTTTTTGAGAGAGATAAACTTGAATAGTTATCATGCGAACTTAAATCATTTCCTGCATTGGCAACTTTCCCATTAACCCTAAACATGGTGCCTTGCCTGTGGCCCCTCCTCAGAGCACTGCTGACCCACCCAGACGTGGTATGTGGTGGGACAGCCCTGGCTGCATTCCCAGGCAAAGCTCCTACCCCTCTAAGTTGTCAGTCCTTCCCTGAGGGGTGTTTTTCATCTATACCAATTTTTGCCTTTTATTTCTGACTTGTGGCAGCTTGTCTTGAGCCCTGAATAAACAGAAAGGATCCGTCACTCCCTCCAGTGCCTTCGTTTGTGCCCCGGATTCATGAAGACGGGCTGTGCCCTGGCTAGCCCTGCTGGGGCGGAAGCACATGCTCTCCATCCCACATATCCTGCTGTTGTGTTTTAAATGTAATGGAAGCCTTCATCCCCGAGCTCTGTGGGTCCAGTCCCCCATCAACTTCTTGACAAATGGTGAAGTTTAAGAAGGGGCTTCCTTTGTGCCCTTGCATATTTTACTTCTTAACCCATGAAGTTAGACATTTCTGTAGTGAGCAGGAAGTGTCCGAAAACCTACATTCAAAGCAACTCTTTCTTAGTACTCGTGATGGAGAGATGCTTCCTAGGGAGTGTCGAGTCTGATTTGTGCCTGAGAAGATGTTTATTTTGCAGCAGTGTGCATTGTGGGGTGGGAATACCATCTGCTGGGTCCAGGAATGCAGATGGTGACTGACCCTGAGGAAGGGTCAGTTAATGAGCGAGCAGCCCCTGCTGGGCTGAGGTCAGAAGGGTTCAGTCCAGCCAGTGGGATTAGACTCCATGGACCAGCTGGCCCCTTGGATTTGCATGGGATTAACATTCCTTCAGAGTAACTTCCAGAGGGCCCCTCATCTCCTCCTGAGCAGGCGCCCTGGAATCAGAGGTCTGGGAGGCAACCACACACTCGAATTTTGCATTATGTTACAACTACCAGTACATGCTGCAGTTGGCCACGGTGTGCTCTGTTTCTCTTTCCAGCCTCGCAGTGCAATGTCAGCTTAAAGAAGCAGAGGAGCCGCAGCATCCTCAGCTCCTTCTTCTGCTGCTTCCGTGATTACAATGTGGAGGCCCCTCCGCCCAGCAGCCCCAGTGTGCTTCCGCCGCTGGTGGAGGAGAATGGTGGGCTCCAGAAGGTCAGTGCTGATGGGGAACTATGCGCTCACTGAGACCACAGCAACAGCGTGTCTGTCCCATCCTTGACGAACCTCCCTAATAAGAGTATGTGTGCAGCCATTTACTTAAAGATTTGAAATTACAAAAAATGTAATCTTTTTGGATAAAGGCTCTCCCGGTCATTCCCACTTAGCAATGAAAGAACATGTTCGATGGGAATTACAAGAGTCACTTCACTTTTTCGTAACATTCTCTCGAGAAGTTGAAAGTATGAAATAGTTGAAGAACCAGGAGCAGATACAGAAATGGAAAGACAAAAAGAGAAACAGAGGAACATGGAGAAGAACTGACAGTAAATATAACTGAGTGTAACTACCTTGTTTAATAACAAACACGTGTTGTATATTCTTTTGTATGTATCAAATTTTAAAAAGTCACAAAAAATTTTTGTCACAAGAGAGCAAAAACCAAAATCCACCCACATGCTGTCTAACAAACACATCTGAAACAGAGTGACTCAGAACAGTTAAAAGTATAAATAAGGATGAACAAACAGGCATCATACAAACATAAGCAGAAAGAAAATAGAGGTTATAATTACAATTTCAGTTAAAAATCACTGAAAAAGAGGATTATTCATCATGAAGATAGTTGAGATTGAAGACAAAAAAGTCATAAAACTTTATGTCCCAAATAATATGAGCAAAAGACATGAACAGGTAATTCACAAAATAAGAAATACAGTTGATCAAACATATGAAACACATGAAAAATATTACACATGTCAACATATGAAAAAATGTTCAACATGACTAGTAATCAAAGCAATGTGAACTAAATAATGAGATACCCTTTTCCATCTGTCGAATTATCAAAGATATTTTTAAAGGTAATATTTGGGTTTGGCGTATGGTAGTGGGAGAGAAGATAGAGGACATAAATAGGTTATTGGCAAGAATGTTAATTGATTACATCTTTCTGGAGGAAAATTTGGCAATATGATCTTAAAACCTTAAAAATAGCCCCATTTGTTAATGCATACAATTCTACTTTATGAACATAATTATGAATGTGCAAAGATTTAACCATGATGCCGTCCAGCATAGACTATAATGTTGCCAGATTATAAGTAGCGTGATGTTCAGCAATAGGCAATTGGTTAAAAACCTGTAGCATAACCATATAGTCAAGTAGCATATAGCCCTTCAAAATGACTTGTCATAAATAGTACTGATATAAAGAAATGTTCACAATATATCATGTAATAAAAAGCTGGCTAAAATACCACAGATTGAATATATTCACAAGTATGTATAGTCTTTCTCTTTGACTCACACACACACACACACACAAACACATAAGCATTAATAAGACTAGAAGGACACATGCCAAAATATGAAGACATTATCTCATACTAGTAGGATTATATATATGATTTTCTCCTTTCCTGTGTACTTTGTTCTTTCCTAATTTTCATAAAATCAATTTAAATTACTTTTATGATTAAAAAATAAAGTTATTTTAAAAGTACATGTGAATGTAAAGAAAGGATTTCTGGAAAGATGACAGCCTAAGCACGTGGCTCTGACCCTTAAAATTCTCTCTCTGGATAAACCCATGTGGCCTGCTGGTGGAGCTGGGAAAGTGCATCAAGGCCCCCTGTTTTCCTGACACCTCCAGGGAAGACAGCAAGCATAGGATTCACTCCTTCTGGAACTCAGTGAGAAGCAGGGAACCACCAGCAGAAGAGAATGCTTGTCTCTCTAGAGTCTTCAGACTAAAACTTGAAATTTATAGTCACATGAGGTCAACTAGCCAGCAGGAGCCTATGGACTCCCTTGGAAAGGGTCTGTACTGCCCACTTGATGTGTGTGGTCCTTGCAGCGGCTGCCCTGGGGAGCGGGATTGCTTTTAGTTCTTGTGCCCTAGAGGAGCCAGTAGTTTAGAGGCTTTCTTCATCTCTTTGTGATTTGTCAACTTCTCGCCCAAGTTGACAACTGCTGGGCCTTTCCGTATGCTCTCACTTGCCACTTCCAGAGAGCCTGATGGACTGAACTGCATAGACCTCAGGGAGCACACAACCTGTGTGAGCAAAGAAAAATGCAGCCTCAGCCAAGGAAGTCCAAGTTAAAAAACTGGAACGAGACCCCTACTGAGGTAAAACTAATGGACGAGATTGAAGAGAACTTTAACAGACAATGCAGCAAATGAATTATGAGTACAAAAGTAACGTTTGGAACTCTAAAAAACCTCACGATTTCTAAATATAAAAATTTAGTAAACAAACAGAAAAAGGAGAACAAGAATGGTCACTACTGAGAACTGAATTAATGTTCTGGAAAAGCAAGTGGAAGAAATATCTTACAATTCACAAAGACGGTAATTGTGAGAGGAGGAAAAGGGATCTAGGAGACCCATTGTGCAAATAAAAAGAGAAAAAGTAGTAGAAGACGTTTTTCTTGGGCTGAAAACAAAGCTTAAATCTGCAGATTGACAGTACTCGCCAGTCTGCAGCAGGATTAGTGGGGCAGGTGGGGGCACACGCCTCAATATTTGCTACTGAGATTCTGAAATCAAGTCTTATAAGCTACCAAAATAAGTTATTTTCAAAGAAAACAATTATATTAGTATCAGACTTCTCATCAGGAGTATTAAAACCAAAAGACTGTGAGAAAATGTTTACAGCTACTGTGAGAAAAAAATTAGAAACCAAAAATTCTACATGTGACCAAGATACCATTTATCTGTTGAGGAAAAAGTAGTACATTTTCAGATATGTGATGATTCAGAGAGGGGGCAAAAAATAAAAAACTGGGTGAGATTGATACTCAGTTGTTAATATAATTATTAAAATGCAGAAATATGACTGTTAGGAATAGAACTGTAACAGTTGGCACAATTGGAAAATAGATCCTCAAAATTCACAGAGGGGAAAAAGGAAAATAAACAGAAATGGGAACAGGCCATCAAAATTAAGGAAAGGGAAAAAGAACAAATAACAGATAACAAACAGTAAACATAACAAAGAGTAGGCATAAGACCAAGTTTAAATGAACCAGATTCTCCTAACAAAAGACCAAGACTGTATCAGATTGGCTTGACAAATTCAGCTGTATGCTGTTTCCAAGAATATACCTGTCATCAGATAGGAATGATTTTGGCCACAAGTAAAAGAAAACTGACAAACAATGGCTTAAACAAACAGGGGATTATTTTTCTCTGTAAAAAGCCTGCACCAGACAGTTGCTGGGATTGGTTTAGATGCATGATGCTGCCATCAGGAACCCAGCCTCCTTCTGTTCTTGTTCCATGTCTCCACTCCACCACACTTGGCGTATTTGCCTTCATCCTCACGCTTATTTGTGATCTCAAAGTCTCAAGTTTCAAACATCTTATCTACATTTAAGGGGAAAAGACCAGGAGGGGTGGCACTAGCCATGGGTGTCCCTCTTATGGGAAATAAATGCTTTCACAGAAAACCCCAAGAGATTTCTGCTTACATTTTATTGGCCAGAACTTTGTCACAGACTACCCGACAGCAACAAGGGAGGCATGAAAGGGAAGAATTTAGCCCAGTGTATTCCTGCTCTCAACAAAATCAGAGCTCTTTCACAAAGGAGGAGAGAGAAATGACTAATAAGGAGACGTGCTGGTCAGTATGGGTTTTGTTATGCTTCAGTTACTACCTCAAAACTTCGGAGGCTTAAAACAATAAAAGTTTATTTTTTACTCATGCTACTTGTTTATAATGGATTGGCTGATCCTTCTTTCCATGGCACTATCCAATAAAAATATAATGTGAGTCACATATATAACTTAAATTTTTCTAGTAGCCGCATTTATAAAAATATTTTTTTAAATAAAATAATTTACTCTGAGCCAAATTTGAGGACCATGACCCAGAGTCACACCCAAGAAGCCTTGAGCAAGTGGACTTATATAAAAATATTTTTAAAATATGTGAAATTAATTTGAATAATACATTTTATTTAACCAACTATATGTAACATATAATCAAAAGAAAAAATTTTAATGAGACAATTTACATTCTTTTTATCTAACTAGTTCCTCAAAGTCTGTGTGTATTTTGCATTTATAGCACATCTAATTTGCAGTACCCATATTTCATGTGCTAATAGCCACACATGACTAAGTAGCTACTGTATTGGATGGTATAACTATCTTATCCTTATCTATGGACCTAGACTGAGGAAGGCCCCATCTCTTTGCTTCCAAGATTGTCACAGTGGAGAAAAGGCAATGTGATAAACCACACTGGCTCTTTTTATTATTAAAGACAGGGTCTCACTCTGTCACCCAAGCTGGAGTTCAGTGGTGTGATCATAGTTCACTGCTCCCATCTCAGCTAGCTAATTTTTAAAAAATTCTTTAGAGATGAGGTCTCACTATATTACCCAGGCTGATCTCAAATTCCTGGGCTCAGGCAATCCTCCTGTCTCAGCCTCCAAGACACTAGAATTACAGGTGTGAGCCACTGTGCTCAGCTTACACTGGCTCTTAAAGTTTTCACTCAGAAGTAACATGCCGCATTTTAACTTATATTTTATTGGCCACAGTAAGTCACAATGACCACGCCTAACTTCAAGTGGCATGGAAGTGTAATCCTACCGTGTTTCCAGAAAGAAAACTGCGATTATTTGGTAAACAGTGCTAATGACAATTAGAGTAGGCAAATAATAGTTTCTGACACAACATCTAGCATACAGTGACAACAGAAGGTGGAACATAAAGAGATGGGCAAAACATGCAAGGCAGATCAAACAGAAAGCAAGAGTGGCAATAATAATATCAGGGAAAGCAGAATTCAGGATAGGTCAAAAGCATTAAATGGAATAAAGAGGGACATTTCATAATGACAAAATATATGAAGTATATAATAACCCATAAACCTTTATATATAATCATAATGCAGCCAAACAAGAAGAAAACTGTTTAAACATGATAAAAAGCTATCTTCTAAAAATAAATAGCAAACAACATGGGAAAATCATTGGTAGTTTCTGGCTAATAGAGTAAGACAAGAAAATGAAACAATTGGGATAAATATAGAAAGGACACAAAACTAGTCTTATTTGCAGATGACATGATTATTTACATAGAAAACACAAAAGACCCTACAGAAAATTTATCAGAATCATTAAAAGATTTTGATATGGTGGCTTATGGAGGAATGCGCTGTTTCTGGATAGAAAGACTTAAGTTCGTAAGGAACAAAATGTCAAAGAATAGCTGAGAAATTTTTAGAAAGAAAATAATGAAAGACAACTTGCCTTGCCAGATATTAAATCTTACTCTACATTGGTGTGGACAAATACATCAGTGGAATATGTATGATGAGATTCCGCTGTAATCTATATCCCAGCCCCAGATTCTGACATCTCCTCTCGGTGTGGTAGCCTCATACCCTCCCTCCCCAATTTAAAAATCACTTAGGGAGAAAATTGCTGTTAGTGAAAGGAATATAGTTTGTACCCTAGGCCTGTAGAGGAGGAAAAAGAGAGGAGAATTGCTGCTGTTTAAAAGTTATTTAAAAATAGTATCTATCCAGGTGATATGAGGAAATAGCATTGCACTCCTGGAAGGTTTCCTGGAATACTCAGCTGTATCAGTCAGGGAATAAAGGTCTTTAAAGGCAGTGCCTCTTGGAGTCAGTGTTCATTCCTGGACTTCCTTCTGTCAACATTTGTCAAAATGGCTTTTTAAAGAATTAAGTTAACTTTGAGTTAACTTTGTTAATCTGAAGTGGGGATGATGCATTATTTGCATAACACGGACTGTTCCATCTGTGAGACCAGTTCCCAGTGAAAGAGCCGTGTCAGAGTGGGGCAGCTAATTCCCAGAGGGGGACCCTCTGTCCCTTGCATTCAGCGTGATCAGTACACACACAACACAAAGCCCAGGCCCATCAGATGTAGAAGCAGATTCTAGGCCCAGCTCTACTGCTGAGTCCTTGAGTGTCCCTGCCGCTCCGAACTCAGCATGCTCGAGGAAGAGGGGACACCATGGACTGAATGGGACAGGCGACCTCTAGAGTTCCATCCATGCTGCATATTTACTTTGCCCTGGAGAAATGAGGATTTGTAGCCTTCCAGTTAAAGCTGTTTCTGCAACAGTGGCTTGGGGTAGCAGCCATTGCCACCATTGCAGCTATAGCCTGAACCTATAGGCCAGTAGCCTGCAGAGTGTAGGAAGACTCCAATGATCTAAGGGTGAGGACAGCGTAAAGGGATTGCTGGATGCTCATAAATACATGCATACCCCATATATAAATATATATACACACACATTTGTATGTGTAAGCCTCTAGGGTAATTTTCAAGCCCAAATACCTTTTTAGATTAGCACCTTTGCTTGCTCATAATCATTGTTTTGTCAAGCCCTTCAGATGTTTTGTGGTTTCTTGCACCGCTGATGTGCTCATCTCATCACACGTGTGGCTCTGGAGGTGCACCTGTGTGTAGGGCCTGTCTGCGCTCTCCTACTAGAGCAGTGCTTCTCAACCAGGCATGATTTTGCCCTCCAGGGAGCATTTGGCAATGTCTGAGGACATTTTTGATTGTCACTGCTGGGGGGTGAGGGGTTCTACTGGCATCTGGTGAGTAGAGGCCAGGGATGCTGTTAAACATCCTACAATGAGCCAGGCGCAGTGGTGCACACCTGTAGTCCCAGCTGCTGGGAAGGCTGAGGCTAGAGGATTGCTTGAGCCCAGGAGTTTGAGGCCAGCCTAGGCAACCTAGTGAGACCCTGTCTCTAAAAAATAAAAAATAAATCCTGCAATGTACAGGACAGCCCTCACAACAAAGAGTTTATCTGGCCCAAAATGTCACTAATCCTGAAGTTGAAAAACCTTACTTTTAAGTAACCCAACAGGCTTATGAGCTTCTAGTTAAAATCTCTCTCACCAAGAGCAGCAGCCTGCTCCCAGGTCCAAATGTATTGGGAACGATATTATTTAAGAGCTTCTGAAATGAATTTCTCTGTGCAAGTGCTTGAAAACTGGGATGTGATTTGATGGTACCATCTGTTGGAGAGCAGCCTAGCTGCCTTGAACAATGTCAGAAGGCTGTTTAGAATCTCCTGAAAAAGGAGAGAGCTACTGAGATCGTCTCAAGAGGTAATGGTAGTTGCTGTTGTACTGCAGAGGTGATGACTAGGGGCGGGAGATAATCAAGAAGCCTCTAATGAGTCCTAGTGTCAGAGCAGAGCTCAGAAAGGTGCCAGCCACCTGCCATTGCCAACCATCAGACTTGGCCTCTTCTCGTGAGACCTTATCACTGTGACCCCCTCAGTAACAAAGGACACATCTTTTCACAAATCCTTCAATGTGTAAGGCATGAGGCAGCGCATCTCCTTATCAGGCCATCTGAAAGAGAAGAGGAAGCACAAGCTGGAGATGCTCAATGGAAATAGATTTGTTTTTTATTAGCATTTCTTACCAATGCCAAAATGAAGTGTTTCCATCAGCCAGCTTTGGAATGGCTGACATTTGGGGCTGAGGAATGGTCGAGGCCCTTTCTTGGGGCCTGAATTTTCTTAACGCTGCCCGTGAATACACATTCTGTTCCCCTTAAAGGATAAAGCTACCCCCGTGTCTGTGACCTGAGTGAGAACTCCTTGTACCTTGCCAAGGGTCCTCCCCTAGAGGAGGACCTGGAATGCCCGGGGGGTTTCTTGTGATCTGGTGAGCTTGTCTCTCTGTTCCTACATATTATATTGACTTAGTCTTTTTAGGGAAAAACTTGCTTAAAAGAAGAAACAAACCAGTTATTAGAGAGAATGAAGGATTAAAGTATGAGTTTTCATACTTGTTTTTAAATTAAGGAGTACATTCCTGGGAGTCAGGGAGGCACTATTTAAATAAACAAGATGGTTAGTGAGCCTCAGGAACCCAGCCTGGTGTGTTGGGGGAGGGGTTGTCTAGGAGACAGAGTGGAGCTCGGTGCCCTAACTGTGGAAAGTCTCTGGGTTCCTCCTGTTCGTTAAACACCACCAAGGTACAGAGAACAGGAACTCATACAGCTGCTGTACTCAAGAGTGCTTTGAAGTTTCTTTTGGGAATATGGTCTTCTCTTCAAACCTGACAATGATTTTTTTTGTTTCTTTTTCCTCAGGGTGACCAGAGGCAGGTCATTCCCATACCAAGTGTATGTATATTTATCCAATTTTATTGAAACGTTCATAGAATCTTATGGCTTTGGGCCTACTAAGTATAAAATATTTTTTAAATGTTCTTGCTTATGTTGAATTTTATCATGTGGTATAAACAGCTCTGTTGTATGAAAAAGTAAAATGAAGCTACATTTTAAACTGTGAGCAGGAAGTTCTATACAGAGACAGTTTCCTTTCTCAGGAACAGAAGGACAGCCAGTATCTATTAACCAAATTCTCCTTTTTCCTTTCTCTCTGGGAAGGGCCTCCAAGCTTTCTATGCTGAGGTAGCTTGGAGCCCTGACCCTCACCGCAACACCTTAGCCCCAACTCCACAAACTGGGGAGAACATACTTTTGCCCAGACATGGTTCTTTGCAGCAGGTTCCATCCCAGTGGAACTGGGCCCACAAAGTCCCAGGTGACCAGATCGCTTCTAACTTAACAGCATTGATAGCTTGGCTATAGCTCTGACATCAGAGAAATCACCCTAATTATTAATATATTCCCTGAACTTGCAGGACCCACCCCACAGGCCAGCTGTGTTGCAACTCTGCCCCAGCTGAGCACTCCCTTGGGCCTCTCCACTTCTGTTGTCAGCCCTGGAATTTGGGAGAGAAGCTGCGCCAACATTCCACCCCAGCACGGGCATGCACCGGCCACCCTCAGCCACTCGCTGCCCACTGCCCCTTCTCTTCCTCCTGCTTTGCCAGCAGAGCCACCTAGCCCGAGGCCGGTCAGCAAGAAGCAAACTGATGACTGACTCACAAAAGAAATTTGCAGGCAAGATGTCTATATCAAACAGTCCTGCGTCCTTAGAGAAGGGTTTAGGTTTCAAAACATATCCGTAAATTGATTATTTTAGTCTGTAAAGATCATCTGATTCAGAATACCTGATTCAAATCTGTTCATCTATTTTTCCTTGAATTTTTTCACATATTTTCTGGGAACATCCAAGAGACAGGGCACTCTTACATTAAAAGGAATGGATTTTATAAGTTCATTTCAAAGGCTTTAGTAGTGTGTGTCACTTACAAATTACCCAGAAAGTTTTAGATGATTTCATTTTTCTCAAAGTTCTAACTCTCCCTTGAGTAACAAGTTGCAACAGTTTGTGAAATAGTTCTCACTTTGCCCACATGCTTGGGGTTGGGCTTTGTTGGGAAAACTGGCTTGGATCAAAAAGATTGATCAAGCAACACAATTTTTTAGCCGGTATTTGAGAGAGATACCTGGTGGGGTTAATATCAGGGGACTGACTCTTTTTCAACTTTTATACACAGTAGTTTCATGTATTTTTCCTGCAGAGGTACCTACATTAAACAGATGGCAGGTAGTACCTCTCCCCCTACTACTACTATTTTTTCTCAAAGATGGTTCACAGCCATCTGTAAAGTTGAGTCCCAAATGAAAGCAGTTTTAAGTATAAAAATCCCACTGAGGAAACTGACCCTTTTCCCACAAATCTACCCTCAGCCATCTACAGAATTCCAGAATGAAACAAACAAGGCAAGAAGGTCCCTTGTATAATTTATCCCAGTGTTAGATCAATAAACTGCTGACTGTATCCTTCATGTTAGATGCTGGGTCAGGCCGCATGAACCTTTGAACTATCTTGCCAAAACCCAGAGCTTAGCTAAAGTCACCTGCACTTTTGAATGATGACCTCCAGGAAAGCAGTTCCACTGAGATGCTCATTAACCCCACCGCCCTTTTAGCATGCAGTCCTGAACCCGAGTCCACCCTGGGGCCTGCTCAGCCCTGGGATTCAAGTCTTGGGATCCCCTGCAATATTTGCACCTGCCTGAAAAGGCCCCAGGTCACATAAGCAGTGGTCTTGGACGTTCTGGACCACAGGGGGGCCCAGTCCATGCTGGGAGCCCTGAGAGCCCCGGGTGCTGCAGCACAGGGCCAGAAATCCAGGTTCATGCTGAGCCTCCAAACCAGGTTCCACGACCCCCTGAGAGCTTTCTTCAGGCCCTGAAGGTCAAGAGTGAGCCTGTTGAGTGCCCAGAGTAGCTCCAGCTGGGGTCCCCATCTCTACTTGTCACCTCACACCTCTTTTTTTCATTTGCATGCTGCTCTGTTCATATGTGCAAGTTTGATCTTTTAATTTTTTTTTTGTGGTCTTGTAATTTTTTATTGAATTCAAGCTGATGGTTAATTAAAAAATACTGAAAGATTAAAGTAGAAAGAAAAAATCCCCCAACTTAATCCCACTACCTACAATAACCACTTTAATATATATTGTATATCCTTCCAGAAACTTTTCAAACACAAGCATATTTACACAAATGAAGTTGTATTGTACCCACTATTCTGCAAATTGCTTGTTGCTTTTAACAAGACATCTTGAACATCTTTCCCAATATTAATATGTATATATCTGCCTCATAGGTCCTCGAGGGCATTTACTTTGTTTCCACTTCTGTGCTATTATAAATATTTTTCTTGAGAATATCCATGTTCCTGTGTGTTTATAGACTTGTATGATAGTTCTGTGTGATCACTTTTATATTATGGAAGTGCTAGGTCGAAGGATATATTTTACATAGTTGGCACATTAAAGCCAAATTGTCTTCCAAAAGCCTATGCTAATTTACATTCCCACAAAGAGTCTATGAGATTGCCCCATACCCTTAAAATGGTTACCAAATGTCTTAACCTTTGCTAATCTGAAAGTAAAGAATGATATCAGCTTATTGCTTTGATTTGCATTTCTTTATGAATCAATTTGAACAGATTTTCACAAATTCATTGGCCATATGTCTTTCTTTTCTATTCATTTCTTCTAGTTTTTTTACTGCGTTGTTCATTTTTTTTAATTTTAAGAAAATTAGTACTTTCCCCCAAATTTATGATATACCTATGGCCTTGTTTATAATCACTCTGGCCACAAAGAAATTTTAATTTTATATAGGTAAATGTTAATCTCACCCATCATGGCTCCTGGATTTTATATTTTCTTCTAGTATTTTAATGGTGCCATCATTACATCTAAATCTTTGAACTATTTGGAATTTACATTGATGTAAGGCATGAAGTAGCAATCTATCTTTTTTTCCCAAGTGTCTACTCAGTTGTCCCCGTACCATTTATTGAGTAATCATCTTTTTCATACCTATTAGAAATGACATCTTTACCCGCACTGTTAAATCCCACTTAGTAACATGTCTCTCAGGTATGGGCTGGGATTTAAGGGCCTTCCTTACTGGGAAGCTTCATGGGATGTTTGGTGAAAGTCAGGTATTAAAGTGTGAGGAAAAGATGCAGAGGGCCAGAAAGCTTAGAAACCACTGAAGTTTGAGTGGCCATGGCTTAAGGGGAGCACCTGAATGGTTTGGCCCCAGAAAGAAATGCCACTGGCTCTGTGACCCAAGTCCTGCTGTTCCCACACTCTTGCTTAGATCACACGCCACACTGATGCTCGCAAACACAAGGCTGGCAGTGTAGTGAACCACAAAAATGCCGAAAGGGGAGAGAAGAATTTGTTTCTAACAGTTATGTTGCTATGCTATTTGCCTAAGGCTTTTAATAAAGTAGTAGTATACTTTTTTTCACTAAAACGTTATGAAGAACATATAAGCAAAACAACTATTCCGGTTAAAACCAGTGTGAAGTTTCCCTTGCTTCCCTCCTTAGGCCCTGAGCTCTCCGCCCTGAACTCTGAGGCTTGGGGAGCACAGTGTGCAACCCAGAGCCTGAGAAATCTTAAGAAAACAATAATCTAATGTACCAAGAAGAGGTACTACATCTATGAGATTTATGAAGGTTTGTGGGGTGGGTACTCCAGAGGAAATAACCTTGGTGTCAGCTATTCATGGCTGCCATTTCACTGCCAGGGACAGGAAATTTCAGATTTACTCCCAGGAAGAGAACTGAAGAGAACACTGTTCCCAGACCTTAGATGGCAAAGCCATGGTCCCCTCCCCACACCCGGCAATGCTCTCTGTGTGCATTTGAGCAAGTGATTTTGTATAGAAAAGGTCTTTCTTTATATAACTGGTATTTCTCTTGTTCTTCAGCTTATGATGGCCTCAGAGAAAATTTGGTTCAGGACATTTTTTAGTTAACGAGTCGAGCGTCACCTGAACAGATCAGTTGAAGTAACAACACACTGTGAATTGCCACTGTAGAGCATCTTTGCATTTCCAAGGGCACAGCTGTCCAGAAGATTTCCTACCAGTGAGCTGAAGAATTTGCATTAATCTAAAGCCAAACTCTCAGGGAAGCTGTGTGCATTTAGGAAACGGTGGAGGATTAAGGGGACCCTAGCCCATTGCTCCCCAGCTTGGCCTTGTTCCCTGCAGCACAAATGCAAAATCAATAGCTTGCTTAATATGAGTCTCACCTTTCTTGATCTTTTCTCTCTTAGATAGTACAGTAAGAGGTTTTACTTACTGTTAACTCAGAGAATGCTTGTAAAGTGTGGGTTAAATATGCTAAGAAAGTAATTTTTATCCTTGGGTTTGGAAAATAACTAAGCCAGTTTTGGCAGATCTTTGGTGTTTTCAGATACACTAAGGATAGGATTTCTAATCCTTATTTTCCAGGCTGGCAAGTAAATAAATAAGTTAAAATGTTGTTTTAGTAGTATGTAAGTGCACAGGGGAAGGACTGGATAGAAAACACACTCAAGGAAAAAGAGGGACATTAAAAAGGAATACTTGGGCCGGGCGCGGTGGCTCACGCCTGTAATCCTAGCACTCTGGGAGGCCGAGGCGGGCGGATTGTTTGAGCTCAGGAGTTCGAAACCAGCCTGAGCAAGAGCGAGACCCCATCTCTACTAAAAAATAGAAAGAAATTAATTGGACAACTAAAAATATATAGAAAAAATTAGCCGGGCATGGTGGCGCATGCCTGTAGTCCCAGCTACTCGGGAGGCTGAGACAGGAGGATCTCTTGAGCCCAGGAGTTTGAGGTTGCTGTGAGCTAGGCTGACACCACGGCACTCACTCTAGCCTGGGGAAAAGAGTGAGACTCTGTCTCAAAAAAAAAAAAAAAAAAAAAAAAAAAAAAGGAATACTTGTGTTTTTCTCTCTCATGTCTATGTTCTTTACAATGACAATGTGGTTTTATTACATAATTGCGTAATAAAAATTAAATTAAAACAAATTTTATTCTGGCCACAAGCATGCTTTCTGCTCTGTTGCAAGCTAACAGCAGAAATAACCCAAATCCGCTCCATTATGTTTACTTAAAGAGCTCATCATACCCTCCCTTTTTAAAACACTTTTAGATATAAAACTTCTTGCAAGTTTAATTTTTAAAAAATAACCTGCTGACTCACTGGCTTATAATGAAGGATAGAGTCCTTCTGAGGTCCCCAAATTCCATGCCCATCTCCAAGGCACACCCCACATCCCCCCCAGTGCCACGGGATTAGAGAGGACTGCTTGGCCAGCTTTAGTTAGAGCTAAGAGAGTTGGGAGGCCTTAAAGGCTTTTTCTTTTGGATGATGTTAGAAAAGGATGAAATACCTGTGCTCACTAGAGAGAGCCCCTCTGTAGCGGCTTGTGTCCCTACATGTAGCTGCTTCCTGGGCAGCCCTGGACAGTCCCTTTTTGCCAGGGTGATCATTGTTCTTGTAAATTTACCTAATTTGTTGACTGCTTGTGTTACATTCACCATTGAACCAGCTAAAGTCCAAAATTAACTTTTGATCATTGATTAACTTTCAGTTTAAACAGGAAAAAAAGAAAAAAAGAAATGGCCACTTAAAAGGGAATACCACTTGGTTTCATTTTTTTCTTTTTTTAATTTGATAAACTAAATTGTCTATTTTCAGTGGCTAGGGACAGATAGTGTGTTTTGTTTTGCATCAAATATTAAGCAGAGTTTGACCTTCTTGCAGGACAGAAAATTAACTAGTTAACATTGGACATTGAATATGTCACAGAGTAAACTAAAATACTTCAAATCATTTCTGGAATGAGGCAAGGCCCAAAGAAATAAATACTCTAAATTGAGTGAGGTTGGCTGAAGATACCTAGCATTTTATTAACTCTTTACGACTTCTTTATCACGAGATTAGAGTCAGCTATAAAGACATCTAAATAGGTTTTCTGGTTAACACACGGCATGTGGATTAAAGTATAACTTTCAGAGGCAAAGAATCCCAGGAGTGAAACGCCACATTCACTCATTTTTATACCACAGTGGGGCAGGCACAAGACAGGCTCTGTACCTAAAACCAGTTTTATTTCTGTTTCCTAGTATTGGGGGTAACCTGAGGTTGCGTTTTGCTGGTGGATCTATATTTCTCTTCAAGGTTTTTAAAATCTCAGTCACAGGAAAAAAAAAAATACTGTGGTTCCAACATAGGTCTAAAATGTACTTGTGGGCCCCAATGGATGTCAGGCAAAATATAACCTCAGGAAGTGTGCCTGCATAGTTAGAGTAGCTGTTACAATTAAGCACTCATCCTCGTGTCATCCTTTTTAATAACAACAATAGCCGCCAATGTATGTACCAGGCAAAATGTTGAGAGTTTTACTGCCATTATAACTAATAACAACAATCTTTCATGGTAGGTATTATTATCCCAATTTATCACCAAGAAAGTGACAGAGCTGATATTGAAACTCAGGTTTTCCTGGTTCCAAAGCCCAGGCCCTCATAGTTGTCATTCAGATAATGGAATGGCACAGTATTTGTTTGATAAAACTTCTGTACTTCAGTTGCAAACTACTTATTTCTGTTGTTCTTAATAAAATTCCATGATGTACTCGACCAGGCATTTAAATGTTTGTTTCCATTTATACCTTCATTAACATAGTATAATGCAATAATAAGGGAATTCGTTTGTCATTTACATATTGATTTTTTTTTCCCCCTTTAGCCACCAGCTAAATACCTCCTTCCAGAGGTGACGGTGCTTGACTATGGAAAGAAATGTGTGGTCATTGATTTAGATGAAACATTGGTGCACAGTTCATTTAAGGTAAATCAGCATAAAAAACAATCTGTGATCTTTGTGATTTGATCACAATTGTATTAGGAAAGGAAAAAATTAAAAGGATGAAAGCTTGTCATTGTTCGCGTATGACTTCACTCTTCATGAAGAAATCACAACAACAGCTGCTTATTAACCCAGGTGAACATTAACTAAAGTTGTTGAATATTAACATAATTAGTTTGGAGAAGAAAATGCTGGGCTGCCATTATCACTGAGACCTCATTCTTGGGAGGTTTGAGGTTTCCAACACTCTCCCCTGTAGAAATACTTTTCAGGTGGCACAAGGCAATCAATGTCCCAGGGCACTATTTGTGTTTGTCAAGTTAACCAGAGTGCTGTGCGTTTTATTGGGAGAGGCGGGAGAGGCACTGTTGGAAACTGTCAAGCAACCTGCTATCTTGGAGGTTTTCCCAGATCAATTTTTGAAAGATGTCCAACTCTGAAGAAGACTTCAGAGTTAACGGCATCTGAACGGAGTTAGCCATTTATTTTGACCATTTTCATGACAAGAGGTTGCTGGGCTTTTTTTCTAAGCTTCGCAGCTAAATGAGTACCCACCTTCACGACTTCCCTTGTGAAGGGTGTGGAGCTGCAGGGATGATGTCAGATACTCTTCCTTCCTGTTCCCTTCCCTACTCTCTGTCTCTTGGCCAGAAAATAGCAAAAATGGCAAGTTACCAAGGGGCCTCCATGCAGCAATAGCTGTGGCTACACTATTAAGGAATGAGTTAATTAACCATTTTTTGCAGGTAGAATTGTTTAAAAGAGGCAAATGATGAAAAGTTTGGAAATATGGGGTTGGCATGTTGGGAGAAGAAGCAGGTGTTTAGAGTTCTGGTCCTGTTTTCTTTGAATTTCTGGTGATGGAACTGCTTTACTATCACTGGTCAGTTAAACCACTTTCCTCTTTTTACCCCAGCCTGGGACCCCCTCCTTTACTTCCCTGAGAGACATGAAAGGCACCATCCATGATGGGGCATGTGTCTCACACGAACGATAGTCACTCCTTGCAAGTTGTATGGGAAGTGGAAGAGCCATCAACTTTGCCTGAACACCTTTCTGTCAGAAACACCATTCCTGTGCCTACTTGTCACAAACAGAGACCTTCTGATAGGACAAGGCCAGGAGATTGTCTTTGAGTCCTTTGGAGAGTAGAAGAGGGACCACCCTTACCTCTTGCAGTGAGAAATGGCTTTGTTATGGCCACTGGGGCATGCAGGGACCACCTTGTTCTCCTGCATTTGAGGGCCAGGCCCTTCCGGGGTTAGTCCAGGAGATGTGGTGGCCTTCTGTCCCAGCTTAGCCCTGGACAGCACTGGAAGCCTTTTCTCCCTCATGGGCAAGTTGCTCATGACTCTTAAGTCCCTGTGGAGGAATGCCCCTCAGAAGAGCTGGGGCCAGTTGCCATCACAGCATAGAGAACTTACTCCCAGGCAGCCCTGGGAATGTGGGCTACACTGGCCAGACTTTCCAAATTTATGGAGGTTCCTGGCTCCAAAGGCATAGCCTTGGCAGCCCCAGGCTCTAGAGCCTGTTCAGAGGGTATTGATGCCACAGTTGATGTGAACAGCATTTCCTCATTTCCTCCGTCCCCTGTCCTGCCTACACTCACAAGCAGAATATTCTTTATTGTGCGGTTTTTAATGTTTTTGGCATTTCAAGGACCTTTCAGAATCTGAAAGCTGCAAACCCTCTCCCTTCAAAAATGTGCAACACACAGGTTGATGGATCCCAGGTTAAGAACACTCACTCTAGCAGAGACTCCTTTACAGCAACACATGAGAGGAGATTAAGGACAAGTGCTTACGGAAGCAGGGGAATGGTTTTTCTCTTTTAATATACTCTGTGGAATATAGTTTCACAATCTAATGCCATGTAAGAGTCTCTTCCTTAAGTCTTCCCTTGTGTTTTTAGCATGATTCCATATTTTAGTTGTGAAATTATGAAATATTGAACTCATCCTTGGCCTTCCAACCCTGGGAGTAAATATACTATGATCTTAGGCCTCAGATGCTCTGCTGAGTGCTCGGTAATGGTGCTACAGCCTAGTATTTTCCACACTGTTTTCAGTTTACATACTAAAGAGGAGTATTTGTGTGTACAGTGATGGGCTTAAAGGCAGACCCCACTCAATCTGACCATACTGACCAGAGATTCCACACCCCACACCCCTGCCCAGTGGCCAACACACACACCTTCTCCTTTCCTCTATCTCTTTCCTCTTGCCCCAAGGGTTTGCAGGCTACTAACTCTTTTGGGCCTGTTCATTTAAGTAGTTTTCCACTTGATTCATGGAATTCCATTCAGAACTGTGTATAAGTTCGTCATTGAGAACATAGTGACTGTTGGAGAATCATTTTTGATTTTTAAATGTCATTAATGCTGTCAAAGAGTTATTTTAAATATCCAGAAATTTGTGGGTTTGCTGGATATGGTGTCTAGAGGGGACTGGTTCTTCCCCGCCTCTGACCTCAAACCCCAAGGCAGGAGACGGTGCCAGGTCACCAGGCAGAGCCCGAAATCGCTGATTCTCAGGACTGGATAGAGCCGTGGGCACTCATCAGACCCATCACTGTAGCTACGGAAGAGAGGAGAAACAGGTCCAGAGAGGGGAAGAGCCCGCCCAAGACTGTGGCCTGCGGCCTCTGGCCTCTAACTTTACACCACGTCACCATATCCTTGGCACTGCTTTGGGACCACGTGCCAAGCAGCCCATCACAGCCCCCACCTGTGGGTCTGGTTGCAAATTGTTTTCCCACAAGCAGCACTGTCCTCTGGCCAGTAGAACGCTCACCTCCTCCCCCTGGTGGCCAGCAGTGGCTCCCTGCATCCTGGTAGGCCTCTGAGCAAGAGCTGGCATTTCTGATGAGCCCCATTTTCTAGCCAGCGTGTGCCACCCTTTGTGGTTGAGGCCAAGCAGGTGATAAAGAGGTTGGACCAAGATGCTGAAAATATAATGACATTCAGAACAGAAAATAATGTGCTTTCCTGCTTATGCTTATTTTAAGGAACCAAGCCATGCTTCAACATCCTCCCCCTGAACTGTTTTTTCCAATAATCAAAACATTGGTCCAGGCAAGCTTTTTTCTTGCAAAAATTTCCAAATTTACTTTGTTCTTTCAGACATACTAATTATAGTTTCTTTTCTCTCTAGCCTATTAGTAATGCTGATTTTATTGTTCCGGTTGAAATCGATGGAACTATACATCAGGTAAGAAATCAAGGCTAAATCTGAGTTTCAGTTAGGATTTTTTAGTAAATTACATTTACTGTGAACTTTATTTCCACATTCTCATTTCAATAATGTGTCACTGAAAAAGGAAGCATACTTTGTTTAATAAATACAGTGGTTCTCTGCTTTTATTCAGTCAGACTAATTTATTTTATACTGAGTCTATAAAGAAAACTGTAATCCATTCATAAATACTAGATACAGTTGCAAGTTCAAATAGTTTTTTGATTTCATGCAGACTTTCAGAAGTTTTCATATCCCCCTCTGGCCCAGCTTGATGGTCTAATTAACTTCCTCATGTAATTACTTTCGGCTACTCTCCTAGCAGGCAACAGGAAAAGCCACAAATCACCACTTATGGTGGATTCTCGGGAAAAGGTGTCATTTCCAAGGCCAGCTGCTCGAGACTGATCTTGTCACTCCTGGACTGATCTTGTCACTCCTGCATCGTTTTCTCCAGTGACTCTTTAGCAAATACCCAACCCAAAAGAACAAGGGGGAAGGGCATGGATCAGCAGGCGGCTATGAATAAAGATGCTGTAGTCAGTTGGCATGCATCTTGGTTCTTTCTGTGTTTTTTTTTTTCCTTATCTGCATAAAGCTCTTCTGGAAATAGCTTCATTTATGAGCATATTGGAAACATTGTAGGAAAACCAGCCTTAGAGGTTGAAGGAGGGGAACTTTTGTCAGGTTTTTCACAGAGGTGATCTAACCATCTTCTTTGTCAACTCCAAGGTCTTAAAGGGAGAATATCTGGCCTGATATCCCAGGAAGGAAATCTTTCTTGGTACTTGAGCCACAACAGGATGTCTTTCCTTAGTGATGTCAGTCGTCTCTTTGGTTCTTGAGTGTAGGGTGTCAGAACTAGTGAGGCCTTGGAAATCAGCTGGTCCAGCCACCTCATCGTCCAGATGGGGAAACTGAGGCTTATCCAGGGCAAGGGTTGGTTTAAGGTCACACAATGGAAAGAAGAAAATTGAAAATTTCAGTCTCCTGCCTCTTTTCCTGTTACTCCAGTCCCTTCCTTCCCCTCTCCTTGCTTTCTTGCCTGTTCTCCAGCAGGTCCTGCCATGAAACAGTCCCTGGGAAAGGCACCTTTATCCCTAGTGTCTCCATACTTCATACTTCATGCTTTTAAAAGCCGTGATGGAACCAAAACAGCAGGCACTTGGGCATTTAACAGTTGCAAAAGCATCAGCTGAATTAACTCCGCATCTGAGAAGCAATTAAGGCTTCTGCATTTATTGTCTTGGCTTGTGTTACAAAGTGCTCACCATGAGACAAAGGAGAGGCTGCCCGGTGGCATGGCCGAATTAGGAGAGAAATTAATCCTTCATACCACGTGACTATGAGCATGACCAGCCTGCTGCTGCCAGCCCTTTTTTGCAGGAGCCACCCCAGCTCCCCCAACCTCGTTCTTGACTGTGTCATGATATCCCCGGGTCCCAGGGCTGGGGTCAGAAACTCTCTCCTGAGGGAATGAAGCCACGAATACCAAGAGCACGAGGAACAAGGCCCTGGCGAAGGCCGTGGCCTCGTTCAAGTAATCCAGGATAGGCTGTGCAGGTCCCAATGGGCCTATTCTTGGTTACTTGCACGGGGACGCGGGCCTGGACGCCGGCATCCGGGCCCAGGACCCTCCTCTCTGCCAGAGGCACCAACTCCAGAGTTCCCAAATCAGTCTCCTGCCCTTTGCATGTAGCAACACTTACTTTCCAAGCACTACTCCCAGGGAGACTAAGGACCACAGGCTGCACCGAGGAGTCCCGTGGGCAAAGTGGGGCCTGCAGCTGCTGCTGTCTGCCCCCGCCCCAGCCTCCCAGCCCCTCAGCTGTGTGGGCACCCCTAGGCCAGCCCCTCTTCAGCCACAGACCCATGCCCGTGCTCTTTCAGTCGGCCCTGAGTTCCCCACTGAGTCCTGGTCCTCTTGAACACCTGCTTCTGGCACCTTGAGAATGACCTGGTTCTGTGTAGAGTCCTCTGCCAGCACCTGTCCTTCTTGTGATGCAGAGCCCCGTCACCCCTCTGTATTCCTGCAGTCTGTCTGACCTGCTCCACCTGCCATTCAAGGCCCTAGCGCCCCCTTCCCCCCCACACTTCCTCTTCAGCCATTTCCTCTCCCAGCCCTGCCTCCCCACTCCCACCCCTGCCTCTGATGGGCTGGGCACCCAGGCTCAGCATTCTCTAGCACCTCCAATGTTTGCAGGCCTGCAGGCCTCGGGCTCATACTATTTCCTCTGCATGCAAGCTCACTTCTCATCCTTATCCGCCTGATGAACTCCTATTTATCCTTCAAGGTCCAGGCCAAATGTTACTTTCTGTGATTCCCTCCCCTTGAGAGGGGAGTTAATTTGTCCTTAATTTATCCTTCTACTATGACTTCCATTATACTGAGTTTATTTTTATATGTTTTTGCATATGTCTGTTTTAGACTGTGAGCTCTTCAAGGGCAAGGCCTGTGTTTGATTCGTCTTTGTAACTGCATCAGGCTGAGCACTGAGCTGGGGCTCAGTAAAGATGTTGAATTGAATTTTAAAGAGTTTGATTTATTTTAATGAAGTGACTAATTTCAAATGGGATTTGTTCAAGTTTGAATCAGTTCCTCCCTTCTCCCACTTCCTCTGTCTTCTCTCCTCAGCTTTGCCTTCTCTCCCATCTCCCTTGTTTCCTCAGATTCGTTCAAGCTGCCTCGTCAGGAGCCCACATGTGGGCTGTAGCCTGGCCTCCTTACAGCGCCCCCCGCTTGGCCTGGCCTCGCCAAAAGGGTGCACAGAGCCCAGCCATTCTAAAAAAGGCTGCTTTTTGCCCCACTCTGCTCAGAGGCCCCTCCTGAGGGCTTCCTTGTGGAGCCCAGGAGTAGAATGGTTTCGTATCTCCTGAAGTGTCTGTTTCTGTACCAAGCCCAAGCAGAGTAACCTTCATGGTATCAAGTAGACGGCATCCGAAGCTGACAAGGAAGGCCCTTCCTGCAGCTTTGCTGAACTTGTGCTTCCACCCCAGGCCTTCCTAGTGAGGGAGGTGTTCCATCCAGAATAGAAGGTGGCAGCTGGAGCAATCCCAGGCCTGCTGGGCAGTAGGCCAGGCCTGGACCTCCCAAAGGACAACACCCAGACCGGGGCCTGTACCCACATAGGCCCTAACCCTCAGCAGGTGCCAAGAAACACATGTGAAATGAATGCGTCATTTCACACAGATACAGTACAATCCTTCCATTCGCTGGTTCTGAAAATTCTCAAGACCCTGATGCCATGGTCAGCTTCCCTTTCTCCTTCAGGAGGGATATCTGCACCGAACTCAGACCTGGACCCCGTCTGAGGAGTGTTGCATCTGACTGTATAGCCCCTCACATGGTCTGGGCCTCTGCATGCCAAACATAAACCAGGGGTGGGAGGCAGGAGCCTTTGTAGCATTTCTTCCCACAGTGGGCATTTGGGCCCTGGGCCGTCCCCAGCAACTGCCATGACTGACCAGCCTACTGTTCCTTCCTTTGCAGGTGTACGTGCTGAAGCGGCCACATGTGGACGAGTTCCTCCAGAGGATGGGGCAGCTCTTTGAGTGTGTGCTCTTTACTGCCAGCTTGGCCAAGGTGAGTCCTGCTTCCCAGCCCCAAACTCCCAGCCTGGCACTCCCAGCCCCTCTACCCCACCCCCAACCTGTCATGCAGCCCTTTATTTTGGTGGGGGAAGCTATTTCTATGGTGACAGGTTCCCACTCCAGATGGGATGGATGCAGGCCATGTGCACAGTGCCAGCCTGAGAGGCTTTTGGGTTACCATGGTGACAGGGAGCACTTAGAACAAATGCTCCATGAAATTACTGTGTGCAGCTACCTGAAGCTGGTTGTCCACACACCAGGAAATCACAGACCTGTCCAGCATAACTGAGAAAGAGTGGCGCACCGTGTTGACTAGCAACCAAATGCTAGAGGTCCCTGTGTCCTTGGGTTTAGCTTACACAGGTCTGACGGACAGACAAGTGAGAGATGAGTGTGAAAAGTTCACCCATATGCATGGGCTGAACGAGAGGTCTTACTGCCCTGATGTGCCATGTAATCTCACGCAAATTACTGCACTTCTCTTACCTCAGTTTTTTCTTCTATAAACTGGGGCTAATTCCATCCACTTTGTGGGTGGATCAAATGAAATAATGATTGTAAAGGGCTTAGCACAGTGCCTGATTCATATTCAGCAAGTGTTCATTGAGCACTTGCTGGGTTCCACATACTGTGCTGGGCACTGTCACTTGGTAAGTACTCCTGATGTCCACTGTTTAGTATCGTAATTATTAATGGCAGTAAAATCATGCAGACATGTTTTGGTCCTAAAGCTTGGTAGGAATCTCTGACCCAGCCTCTGCACTGGCTCTGACCACATAGAGTGGTTTCTTTGTCCTCACCACTGTTTAAGGAAACTAGCAGGTTCCCAGGACCCCAGTATGGCTTAGTGGCCCCCTTCACAGTGTGGTGGGGTGCCTGTGCTGTGTACAGGGCACGCAGGGCAGCCCCTTGCTCCTCCCAGGAGGTCCTTGCCCTGACCATCTCCCAAACTCTGACTGATGGGGCCAATGCCATCCATTTGTTGGTGACACTGCTGGCATCTCCCTGGGCACCTCAAGGACCCTGAGTGGCTCCAAAGATGAGTTTTGTGGGGCCCAGGTTAATCATCTGTCTGACTCCAGGAAATCACACAGCAGCTCCTCCCCTACATCCTGCCTCTGGATGGTTCCCTGGTGCCCACACTCCCTTCTCTTCCTTTGCATGTTCCCACTGCTTTGCTGGCCTGGGCATTCCTGGTTAGGACCCTGTCTCTGTAGTAACCGAGGTGAGAGAGAGCTCCACCTGCATGAAATTCTGCCAGTGGCCTCAGAGCATGAGCCAGTAGAGAGGGAATACGAATCCTGGCTTTATTTTTGCATGCCAAAAAGATAACAAGTCCTCAGGAAAAACATCGTCTTCCCCAATGGGTAATCTTTCAGATGAGTGGTGCCAATACTAACTGTATCTGTAGCTTTGATGGCTCTTCTCACAGTGCTCTGGGGTGCTGAGGAAACTGAAGTAATAACCAAAGAAATAACAAATAGGAAGATTGCACCAGTGGAGGTGGACTAAGAGTTGTTTTTTCTTTGGCAAAATTGAAAACACTCTTCCTTGGCATTGTGCCAGCATTTGCTTAAACATCCTTGTTCAGTTTCTCTTCCTGGACTGTTCCCACCTGCCCCTCCATCTGTCTCTCCAACCCTTCTCTCGCTGCTACTCTAGCCTAGCTGAGGTGAATCAGCTCCCGAGTGCAGTCTTCCACCCTCTCTCCTCCCTGATATACAAGTTCTGCTGAAAGATAGTCACTGACCCAGTCCTTGGCTCTGGGCTCAGCTCCCAGCCAATAGCACTGGGCCGTGGATCTCCTTGCCTACCACCTGCCACCCTGCAGGAACCTCAGCTGACTGTCAGAGCCTTTCAATATCTGCTTCTTTGTCATACATTCCTTCGTTCTCCCAGCAAATATTTACTTAGGACCTACTATGTATCAGGCATGGTACTAGGTACTAGGGATATAGCAGAGGAGAGAAGAGACAAAGTCCCTGCCCTCGTGAAGCTTACATTCATCATGTTCACCTCTGAGGCCTGGAGGCCCCAGACTCAGACACTTTCTTGAAAGATGGGTGCTACCACCAGTGTTAACAATTATGAGAAAATGAATTCTTTTTCCATCTAGAGTCAGCCCTCTACAATCCTCCCATGGGGCCCTTAGCTAGCCTCATCAGCAGAAAACGGTGGTGCCTCGTGCTGTCACCCCACTTGGAAATACAGTAGGAATACAGCTGCTCCTGCATTCCTTCAGGAAGTCCTTGGAGACGGAGGACTTTCCGCTGGAATCATGGCCGCAGCTCGTAGCCCTGTAGCCCGTCCTGCAGCTGTGCTGGCACTTGCCCTGCCCTCAGAGCTGCAGTGCATTCCACTGCTGGCCCTGCCAGCACCACCAGCCCCGGGTGCTCTCTGCCCCCTGGCAGATCACTGGGCCCCTGGTGATGCCTGCTGTGCCCTTCACCTTGGCCATGGTACAGAGGCCTGGCCTTGCATCTGGCTTGGAATTGGCACTGCTGCCGCCAGGCACAGCCTCTCAATACAGCCCACTCTTTCAGTTATCTTCATTTATAAGGATTTTTTCCCAGGAACATCTTCATTTCTTTATCCAGTTCTGCCTGCTTTGGGGAATATTCCCCAGGCCATGAGAGAGAGCCAAGCAGGATGGACCCCAACTATGAGCTGGGCTCAAACTCCCAAGCTCCTGGCACCAAGTCCGTGAGAGTGGGTGGCAAGGCACCATCCCGTGACAGCTGGGGCGGTTTTGGCCGGACTAACCAGAAGACCTCTAGGGGACAGTGTGGGCTCATGCCCCACCAGACAAATTCGAGTCCGCTCATGCATTCAGTGATGAAATTAATATTTCCTGAGCCCCTGCTGTGAGGTAGGCACTCTGTGAGGTGCTGGAGCTATAGTGGTGAACAGGATAGGCAAGGCCTGGCCTTGACAGAGGAAATAAAACAATCCCACATGGTGCTAAGCTCTGGAAAGGAAGCTACTGTGAGGCAGTAAAGTAGCCAGAAAGGAGGATGGAGGCGGACTCCAGATAGGCAGGAATGGGAGCCAAGACCTGGAAAACAAGAAGACAGGAAATGTTCATGCAGAGAGCTGGGGAGAGAATGTTCTATGCAGGTTCTGACCATGTTCAAAGCCAGCATGGCTCCAGGGGTTCAAGATGGCAGAGACGTTCCGCTGTGGTGGTACAGAACATGGCAGTGAGGAATGCCGGCCTTACGCCAAGTGCAGCAGGTAGACAGCGGAGAGTTTTAAGCAGGGGAGTGACGTGATTAAATGTGTGTTTTGCAGTGGCCACTCTTGACAGCTTTGAGATAAATGGTCTGGGAAGGAGGCTTAATGGGAAAAGGGAACCTCCTTAGGAGGTTCATGCAGCCATCCCAGGCCTAGACCAAGGGCTGCAGCAATATAAATAGAGAGATGTGGGTGGATTCAGGGTATTTTGGGAAATGAAACTGACAAGAACTACTGATGGATTGGATGTGAGAGAGTGCGGTCTTATATACACAGAGAGGAAAATAACCAGGATCCGATAACACATCCAATTATTAAATCCCTTTATAAAAAGTAATCTGGATCTTGCTGCAGTAGGTTGGGGTCTCTGGGCTCTTTCAGGCACGCAGCCTTCACTGTGGCACCTTCTTTCCAGTATGCAGACCCTGTGGCTGACCTCCTAGACCGCTGGGGTGTGTTCCGGGCCCGGCTCTTCAGAGAGTCATGTGTTTTTCACCGTGGGAACTACGTGAAGGACCTGAGTCGCCTTGGACGGGAGCTGAGCAAAGTGATCATCGTCGACAATTCTCCTGCCTCGTACATCTTCCACCCTGAAAATGCAGTAAGTGGCCCCAAAGAAAGAGAAATGCGGGGCTCCATCCGAGCATTGTCTTGCCAGGCAAGCACCACTTTTGAGCACCTACAGAAGAAGGTCTCTGGGCCATTGCCTTGGTGAAATCCTAACTCTGCCACTTAGCAGTTGCATGTCACGAACCACGTTATTTAACCTCAGTGAGCCTCTGTTGTGTCATCTATCAAATGGGAATTATAGGAATGTAAATCTCATAGGATTGTTGGAGGATTCAGGGTAGCAATACACAAAAAGCACTTAGAAAAGTGCTTGAGACTGGTAAGTGCTCAGTAAGCCTGTACCTTCTTCTTAGCTTTCTTAGCATTGTTATTGAGAAAGGCTCTGCTGGTCATTAACCTCCTGGAGCTGGCTGCTGCCCAGGACTTCATGAACCCTGTAGACTCAGGAAGCCTGAGTGACCTCCTCAACAGAAGTATTTCTTAAACAAGAATGAATAAAACACTTCAATAACGTCTTCAGATAAGGCTGCCAAGCTTTGCCACCTCATGATGATGTCTAAAAAGCACACATTAGGAACCTTTCCTACATAAAGCTCCCTGGAGCATGACAGCTTTCAGTGCCTACTCACCGAGTGCAGCGCAACTCTCAGGGCAAGAGGGCCGTGACCTCCCTCCTTCTGCCTGACATTTCCAGGGAAAGAGAGACTAGCCAGGCCTGCTGGTGACTGCTGAGCCCGCACTGCTGGTGACTGCTGAGCCCGCAGCAGTAGCCATCACACCAGGCCCTCAGCTCAGGCAGGTTTCTCTGGAGAGGAAGCGTCCTCTCAGCACAGGCATCTCAGACTCAACGAAAGCCTACGAAAGTCCTTTCCTTGAGTTCAGAATGCTGTAGCTTCGCTTGTGACAACAACAACAAAAAAGAATTCAAACAATTCAGTTGGCTAGTGTTGTAATCATTATTTGAATAAACACTCAAAATGTATCATATGTAAACATGTTCATTTTACTGAGTAAATCAAATTCGGACATGATGCATCTGGTAATGTGTCTCTAACAGATAAGGATTACTTTTTAACATAATCACAATTCTATGATCACATCTAACAAAACTAACAGTTTCTTACATTGTTTCATATCCAGCCTGGGTTCATATCATCCCTGTCATCTCAAAATGTTTTCTTACATTTGCACTGTTTGAATCAGGATCCAAACAAGGTCCATGCATTGCTTTGGTTAAAATGGCTCTTAATTCTTTCGTAGTCTTAACGCTTTTCCTTTTCCTCCTCTTTTCTCTTTTATGCCATTTATTTGTTGAAAAAACCCTGGTTATTTGTCTCACAGAAATTTTGTACATTCTAGATTTGTCTTGTTGCTGCCTTGTGGTGGTGTTTAATATGTTTCTCTAGCCACCCTACATCCTTTAAACAAGTAATTAGAGCTCTACTACTTGATTAGATTCAAGTTTAATTTTTTTTTTCAAGACTAATGAATTTTTTATAGTTCTAATGCAATCCATTTATTATTCTTTCGGATGCTCAAATTTTCACCTTTTGCCAGTGGAGACCCCTTCAAATAACAATAGTCTTTGATCGAGGAGCTTTGCCACCTCAAAGGTTGAGTATTCCTTACCCAAAATGCTTGGGACCAGAAGTGTTTTGGATTTGGGTTATTTTTAGGATTTGGGAATATGTGTATACACATAATGAGATATCTTGGGGATGGAACCCAAGTCTAAACACAAAATTCATTTATGTTTCGTGTACAACTTATACACATAGGCTGAAGGTAATTCTGTACAATATTTTTAATAATTTGATGGATGCTGAATAAATTGTATGTTGTTCACCTACATTTTGACTGCAACCACTCACATGAGATTGGGTGTGGAATTTTCCACTGTGGTGTCATGTTGGCAGTCAAAAAGTTTTAGATTTGGCGTATTTCAGAGTTCAGAGGTGCAGATTAGGGATGCTCAACATGTAGCTTCCTTGCTCCCTGGTCAACAAAATGTTCCAGGCTCATCTTAAATATTTCTCACCTCAGCCCTGGAATCAGCCATTTTTCTGTGGAGCCTGGTTCCCCTTAGTGGAAATGGTATTTAGAGACCACAATTTGGGTGGACTTTCATTACTACTGGGATGTCCTTTACTCCTAGCCCATACTACAGGTCAGAGCTAAAAGTTACATATTTTTAGAAAGAAAACTAAATCATCAATTCATATTGGTGTTTCCAATTCAACATTAAGGTAACAGTTTTTATTTACTTCTTTGTTTTTGTATTTATTTCTCTTTATCTTATGCTAAAACTCTTGATTCTTAAAGATATTAACATAATTACATATTTGATTTATTCTATAATATATGTTTAATAATTTCAAAATAGAACTACTCATATTATCATTAATAACAAGACAACTGAATGCAGTTTAAAGTTCTTTAGAGAGATGTACAGTCAGAACACCATGTTTTTAAATCGCTTGAAATAATTCTCTGGTTGTGTCACCAACTTTATTCTGAAGCTATATTTATATTTATTCTGAATCTATACCCTTAGGTTCATTTTTTTATTGCTTTATTTCTTAATGGTTTAATTTTATTTTAATTATACGACACATTCACACAGTTCCAACATCAAAACTATCCATAAGGGTAGATTTAGAGAAGTCTGTGTTCTTTTCTGCCCTCTCCCCATTCCCTAGGGTAGTTATATTTTTACTAATCCTTACATTAATTAATTTTCAAAATTATATGATTTATGTTCTAAGCTGTTTTTAGATTTATAAAAGGGCCAAAATGTTACTTTTAAACTTTTTTGTTCTCAAATTTCTTTTTAAATGTCTTTGCACCCCTGGCTGCCACCTGTTACCACCCTTCTGCCTAAGACTACGGAGAAATCCTGTCTGTGCCTATGGCTTCAGAATGTCCTGAAATTTTGCACTTCTACTTTTAACTGCTCACTACTAAGCACAGGAGGAAATTTACCACTTCTCTTTGCCATGCAACATAGCACAGTGACCTGCATGTCAGCTCCCTAGTGTCAGTGGTTGGCATGTAACCACTGGCCCTGAGGTGCAAGGAGCTAATTTGGTGCACTAGAAAGAGCTCTTTGAAATTAGCAAGTAACAAGGCTAGTTCACATATATTCTGCGCCCTGGCCACCTTTTCTGTGGCAGGAAAACAAAACAGGCAAATGCACACAAACTGGTTACACTTAATTTTGCCTCCCTGAGACATCTCTCGAAACACATAGCTTTGGATTGGCCTCGGTAGGGACAGGGGAACAAACAAAATAATGATGGTGAGACAGTGATAATCACTAGATCCCTGTCCTCCTCACCAAAGAAACTGTTAGAAATGCGGGGACCCAGTCCCTGCATTAGAACTGTTAGAAATGCAGGTTAGGAAATGGCCCCAGCCCTGGATGCAGTCCCACTGCCTCCCTCGTGCGCTGTCTTCCAGGTGCCTGTGCAGTCCTGGTTTGATGACATGACGGACACAGAGCTGCTGGACCTCATCCCCTTCTTTGAGGGCCTGAGCCGGGAGGACGACGTGTACAGCATGCTGCACAGACTCTGCAATAGGTAGCCCTGGCCTGGGCCCGCATCGCGCCTGTGCACTCTGGAACTTCTGGCCTCCGGGGACCTGCCCTCCCTCAGCTCCCCGGGAGCCGAACGTGAGGATTCTCCGCGCTCCAGGCCACAGGGTGATTGTGGCCATGCCTACCTGTTTTGTTTTTTAGAAACAAATAACTATTTTAAAAAGAACTCTTTTAACAAATTTCATAAAGGGACATGCATTTTACTGGATTTGCTTTTCTTAAAACATACCAAAAAGAAAAAAATGAAAAAAAAAAAAGCTTGATATCTATCAGACTTCCTTCCAGCTGTCCTCCCCTACAAGCAGACCAACTGTCCCCTTCTATTCCAGCTCGGAGCAGCTGACCCAACTCAGAATCTCTTTCCTACAGGATGAAGTGCCTTTTGAATGTTATTTTAAGCTGAGAGTTAATTTTTCTACATATTTCCAGACATCTTTTAGTCTTTTATTGTCTTAGATACTCTAAGATGAACACGACAATTTTCTAGAACCTGGTAGCGTGTGTGTGTGTGGTGGGGGGTTGGTAAGGGAGTGAGTCATAGGAGCCTGTCTCCCAACAGGTGGGACTTTGCTCTGACCACCTGTGGCATGCTGCAGGGTCAGGCTCCTGATAGGAGTGTTTTGTGATTATGTCATTGTCTCCATGCGTTTCTGACCCAGTTTGGAATGTATCGGCAATTGTGTGGCTCAACACTTTAGGAAACAATAGATTCTTTTATATTATTTCAGATGGTGACAAATTTGTCTTGAGGTCACATTTTCCCCTTGAAAAGTGACATCGTGTCACTTCTCTCTCACACTACTGCCATACTTCTGTTTTTTGTTGTTTTTGGTAGAGCAGTTATAAGAAACCCTAAAACCCTTGGATATATTTTTAAAAATCTGTTTATTGAGTTTTAAATTTTTCCTTTCCAAAAGCCGGATACACATGGAGTTGTTTGGGAGTTTTCTTTGCTGCTACCGCGCTGCCACCAAATGGAATTGACCAGCGGCTATTACACTGTTCTTTGCCACTGTGCCTATGATCAGAATATGCTCACTGCTAAGCTACAAACTTGGACAGGGTCAGAAACATAGGTGTCCCACCCCATTGCAGACTGCACCAACTGCATCCCTTCCCTGGCACTGGCCACTGAAGTGTACAAAGGCAAAAGAGCCAAAGCACCACACAGGAGTGGCATTAATGTTAAGCTGTCGACATCAGATCCTGCTTGACAAGCTGATGGAGTGTTCTCTCTTGAGAACATGTGGCCTCAACCAGCCACCAAACTGATACGGCCCAGGTCCATCTCTTGGTCTTCTCCTTTGAAGCACAGTCTGTTTCTGAGCCAAGGGTTGGGGAAGCCTGTCTAGATGTGGGACTCCTTGCCCCAAACCAGCAAGAGGAGGGGCTCCCTCCTCTGAGCCTGGGCTCTCTTTGCAGCCTTTCCCAGTTTGGTGTTTAAGCAGTGCCATGTTCCTTGTTTGACAACAAGACAGTCTGTAAAGTATTGCTCTTCAAAATAATTTAAAAGAACCCTTTTGTGTTGGCACCATTGCCTTAGTCCTCTGTGGGTTGGTCCTCAGCCAGAGTTCTGGTGGGAGCGACTGGCACTTAACAAGCCTGGAGATTGGGGGGGTCAGAGGAAAATTTCTTATTTTTGCTTTCATTCACAAAGTAATGAAACCAGCTGCCAATCACATCCTCCCAGCAGCACTTCGGTCTGTGGACTGCTGTGCATTCAGAAGGGGAGTAAGTATTCAGGGGGTAACCAGGTTTCCCAACATTCTGAGTGTTCTGAACCCAGTAATCCCCATGCCAATGAAAATAGTAACAGCCCCTTGCTAGGTGTTACCACAGATAATGACAATTACATGGTAGATCTGCACATGCCACAAACCTTTATTTGGAAAACCAGTCATTAAATGAACCCGCTGCCTTAAATGTCTTGAATGTTGCAGTCAAGTGTCTGTCGTGCTGATATCCACATAGAACCAGGCCCTGATGACAGCCTTAGACCCTGACCCGTTCCCCCTTCTTTGTTGGCATCACAGGGCCTTAGTCGGAAGAGGGGGCAGAGAGGATTGTAATTCCAAAATATTTCAGGGGAAATGAATCTGGGAATAGTGCTCCACTTCTGACAGATGGAGTGAAGACACTTGGCAGGCTTGAGCCAGACACTTCACCTAGTAGTTCCTGAAACTGTGAGCACCAGTGCACTAATCCAGTGTGGGGCTGTTGGGGACAGAGCCCAGTTCCTGCCACCACAGACACAGAATGTCTTGGGAGGGCCAGGAAAGCCCTCTGAGGGTTCTGGAATCTGTGCACCTTATTTGACTACACTCCAAAATTCCGTTTTTATTTTAACCCTTGAATCTGCTCTATGTACATAATCAAAATATATCTATATATATTTTTAATCATCTACATGTAAATGAAGCAATAGAATTCTAACATAAGGCCAAGAAATGAGGTGAATGTTTGGGGTTTATGTTTTTTAAGGTAAATACGGGTATTGTTTTTAATTATTACCTTTTATTAAATTGTGGGCTTTAAAACCTAATGAAACCCTGTTAGCTACTTCTCTGTGCCATATACTTTCCATGTTACCAAAATACCCCCAACTCTTTAGCCAAAAGAGAGGTCTGACCTCCTGAGTTTCCTTGGTCCTTTCTGTACCAGGTTAAAATGTAGTCTGCTGGACAAGTATTTTTTACATTAAGGTCTGGGGCAGGATGCCTTGGGTTTGTGGACTCCAGCCCACTGTGATGTTGTGACTTCTCTGGCCAGGCCTGAGTGGAGGCGCCCAGGCCCTCCTGATGTCCTTAATGCTCTGTCTTCCACTTGCTTTGGAATCTTACGTGTTGGTCTGTGGTTTCACGCCTTAGCTGTTTGTAAACAATGCATTTGTATACTAAAAAGGGACACTGCCTGTCACAGTTGATGGTTGGTGGGGGGAAGCTCCTTTGATATGGTGCAATTTTGATGAGATGACTTTGGGGACGTGAGGATGCCCTAATGGCACTGACTTGTCATGGTTGCAGCATTTGAATTTTTGGTGTAAAAAAGAAATCTGTAAGTCTATGTATAACCTGGCAACATTTTACAACCCTGTATTTTTAAAAATGCTTTCTATTAAAACCCAGAACCACACAGCCCTATGGTCAAACACTCCTGACGTTTGTGCCTCTGCTTTTAAAGGTGCTGTGCTGGACAGCTGGCATGCCAGGGTTCAAGAGGAGTGGATGGCTTGAAGTACTTGCGGTTACCTGTGCAGAATTGGCTGGCTGCCTCTGTTCCTATTTTACTGTAAATTTGATTGTGTCTGTTCCTGTTCCATTCTCCCAGGAGCTTCTCTGCAGACTGACACCCCCCAGGTAGTGGAGATGCTGGCGTCTGGGTAGTCATGGATTTCTGTTGGACATTTGAATGTGATAAACAATCCAGCATTACTTGGGAAATGCTACATGTGGAATGTGCACGTTTCCAGGGGCAAGTATTTGTCAATCAAGAGGTTTGCAATGATTTTCTTCCTGCCAAAAATAAACATGCGAAACTGCACTCTCTTGTGGATGGACTGCTTCTCTAGCCCCCTCACGCCAGCACCTTGGGTCTCCTGGGGTCCCCACTTCTGGGGAGCACGGGTGGGTGGGAGTGGGGCTGCAGGACCCCAGAAGCCACAGACCTTGACCCCAGAAGGAGCTAGAAAATTATCCTGCCCAAATTGCCTGTCCCCTAAAACGTAACAACTCTTTAGCCCTCTGGCTTCCTCTCCCCAGACAGAAGCAGTATGGCTCACTGTACCCCCAAGGATTCCAGCCCTACCAACAGGCTTAAAAGTGCAGCCTGAGAGAACCAGAGCCCCCGACTCCACCCCATAAGAGCCACGGGCATTGTGCGTGGTGCCTCAACCCCTGCCCATACCCATGGGTACACTGGCTGAGATGCTGTGATTACCAGATGAAGCATGGCATGGAATCGGAAAAAGAGTAAGGATGGAGCAGACAAGTTTGCTCACAGAGACATTTTGTCAGCATTGCCCCCAGCCTAGCCCTTTCCATGAAGATGAGGGAGACAACAAGTCCTCTTCTGCTAGGGACTCCTGGCAAGGACTTGGACACAGCCTTACTACTCTCAGCACTCAGTTTCTTCATAACGATACCTAATTCAGATAACAAAGAACACCAGCATCAACAATCTGATCAGATAGGTCTTATCCCCATTTTGCGGATGAGAAAACTTGAGGCCAGTGAGACAAAGCTCTGTAGTGTCTGCTCTATCATAAGATACAAGGTTCTGCCAGGCATGTTTATTCATCCCAAACAACTCAGCCCAGGAGACCTAATATTTACCCAAATGCCCCACAGCTAGTCAGTGCTGTGCCCCTAGGTTCCTTCTCTTCATAATGAAGCAGCTGGCCAGCCAGTCACTACAGCTTCCTCCACTGGTTCTGACTCCTAGGCTGAGTCCACGCTGTTCCGTAGCCCTCTCCTTCCTTCCTTTCACCCTCTCTTGTATCAACTGCATACCCCCGACTGTCTCCCACCTTTGCACAGAAGCAAACAGATAAATGGCTGAGAACTATGGCAGCCCTGAGGCCGAAGCATCCTCAGGAGTGTCCACTGATCCCCTAAATAGTGGGAAGGAAACACAGGTCATCAAGTGGGCACTTGGTTGGGACTTGGACATACTGAGATTTCCCCTCCCGATGTTTTCTGATTTGAGCACAAATCGTCTCTCTGTATTACAGGACCAAGGAATGGGCAGGAAGCCCGGGAGGGTGGGAAGGAATGGCTGGGAAAAGCCAGCCTGGGACCGATGGCACATTAGCTGACAGTCCGTGGAACTCATGGATATGGTGTGCATTGGGCTTGTGGCAGTCCCTGGAGTAACCTGGGCTGCTTGCATGGTAAGTCCCCTGTGCCAGGGCCATCAGCCTGACCTCTGAGAACTGACTGGACCCCCTCAGGCCGTGAGGAGGACATGGCCCCAGAACTTTCTACCCCAGACCTCTATTACAGCACCGTTTCCTGGCTCAGCGACTCTCAGCTCTGGCCGCACGTTCTCAAAAATACAAACCCCTGAAGTCCACCCCAGACCATTCAAATTCGTATCTCTGAGGGTGGGGACCTGCATCATGTTTTTAAGTGCCCCAGATGACTGGAAAGCGCAGCCAGGGCTGAGAACCCTTGCTCTGCCTCGCTGTGGAGGAAAGGCAAGTCCCCTGAAACTTCCAGGCCTGGTGCCCGGGAAAGGAGCTACGGGTATGGCTTTGGAGAAGATCACACGCGTTGCTTTACCCGAAAGATCAGACATACGGTTCAATGGTAAAAATTCAAGGAATCCAGAAAAGTATGGAGAAAACCCCACCTGGGCACTAGGAGCCTTTCCAAGGCAGGGGTGAGGTTGCAGGGTGAGGAGGGGGACCTGACAAGAGCCCCGCGTGGCTGGCAGTGGCTGCTTTCCCATGGAGGTGGGGGGCAGAGCGGATCCCCCACTGCACATTGAAGCCCAGGGTCACACTGCCCACTGGGAACCGAACCCAGCCTGGCGCCACCACCCCCAACGGGGGTGGGAGTCTGTCCTGCCCCACGCTGTGCCCCGATGGGTGGGTGTGCTACAGGGCGGGCCACACACCCCCTGCCACAGTGGGCAAGGCAGTGACACCGCCTCTTTGCGGGGGCCTAGGGTTGGTCTTTGGTCTTTCCTCCCTCCCTGCAGTTCCCACAGGCACCCTAGTGGCTGTGTCACTGTTCTTCCTGTGGCCTGAAGCCCAGAGAGGGACCACCAGATGTGGGGGCCCATGCAGGCCCAGGGCTGCTCCCCTCCAGGAAGAGAGGCCAGGGTGTCTCCGGGCAGTGGGCTCCAGGACCTGAGTCAGCAATTCCCGCTGCCTATCCCTGCCGGCACTGCAGGGCCCAGACTCCTCTAAAGAGGCAAAGTTCTGCACCTGCCTGGGAGGGACTCACGGGAGCCCAAGCCCAGGGGAGCTGGAGGGGCGGGGTCCACTTGGGGCCACTCCTCAGCCTGGGTCAATATTGACAGGGAGCCGGGCTGGGCCGTGGGAGATAAGCCTGGCAGGAACAATGTAGCACCTGAAGCCCTGGGAATCTGCCAGGTAGGGGCAGACGGCGGATCACAGGGGGCTGGGGTGGGAAGAGGTCAGTTGGGTGTTGAGGTCAGTGACTTCCAGCAGGACCCCTTGAAGACGGGTGGGGGTGAGACAGCTGAGCAGAGGGAGGCGTGGCAGGACCCCCTTCTTGCTCTTGGGAGGGGATGAGGCTAAGTGTCCTGCCCCTCATTCTTATAGCACGCCTGCATGTGAACTTGCCCTGGGCCTCAGTTTCCTCTCTGTGCCATGGATGCGATAGCCATGAGCCTGAGATTGTCCAGGCAGACACAAGGCGGTGCTGCTTATCTTCGCCCCAGGCCAGGCCCGCAAGCTTGCCTGCCACCTCTCCTGGGCCTGGGATGCCAGGTTACAGGGCAGGGATTCTGGGGAAGGGCATCTGTCCAGGCAATATCTAGGTTACAGGGAGCCAGAGAGGTTCTTGTGCCCCTCACTAAGCTGCTGAGACTGGATTGTGCCAGGTGGGGTGTCCTGCCCACAGTGAAGGTGGAGGGGTATCACCCTCCCCTCCCGCTTCTCAGAGGAGGAGATGGCAGCTCAGGAAGCCTGAAAAACGTTTCCAGAAGCCCTCAGCCAGTGAGTGCTGGAGCCAGGGTTGGAACTCTGGAGAAGGCGCAACATCACTGCTCTAACTCCACTCCAGGCCCTGGCTCCAGGCAGAGCCCCACAAAAGGTCCAGACACACATACACACACACACACACACACACACACACACACACACACACAACTGGGTCAGGCTCCGGCCACAGGAACATGTCAATAAATCCTCACAAAGCAACTGCAGTGCCCCAGGCACCACCATTGCATTCGCAGACACGGTGGTGAGCAAGGCTCCACCCACGAAGGGCTCACATCCCAGAGGGGGACACGGAGCTGAACAGGCCCCCCACAGTAGAGACCGGGTTCCCAGAGCACCGAGAAGATGAGGAAGTGGTGCTGGCTGGGGAGGGAGACTGCTCTAGCTAAGGAGGTAAGGCGAGGTCCTCTGGGGAGGTGCCATGTGGGTTGGGGCCTCAGTGGAGCTGTGGGAAGGCCCCAGGAGAGGCTTCAGGCAGAGGAGATCACAGCGCACAGGTCTGGAGACGAACGAGCCATGAGCTGGTGTCTTCGGGACAAGCCGTGTAGCCAGCGAGCGCAAGCCTGGGAGAGTGGTGGGACAGGTGGCAGGGTCAGGCCGTTAGGGGTCTTTGTCTAGCTTTAGCGGGAAGCCACTGGAAGGTCTGGAGCAGGGGAGTGGCGTGAGCTGGTTTATGGTTAAATTCTGAGGTGAGGGGCCTCCTTCTGTTTGGTAAAATCACAGAAAGGGAAAGTGGAATGGTGGTTGTCAGGGCGGGGAGGGGAGTGGAGTTTAATGGACGCAGTTTCAGTTTGGTAGGATGAAAGTTCTGGAGATGGATGGTGGCGATGGTTGGACAACAGTGTGAATGCCCTTAATACCCCAGAACTGTACACTTAAAAATGGTTCGGATGGTAAATTTTAAGTGTCTTTTACCACAATAAAAAAATTGGGGGAAAAACAAAAAGATGCCTGTGGCCACTGCGGGAGGGTAGATGGGACAGACGCGGGACCAGCAGGCTGAGAGCCGAGAGGGAGGCTCGAACTGCCAGCTGGTGGGGGGCTGGCGCCAGGACAGGACAGAGTCGGGAGGGGGCTGGCCAGGGGCCAGGATCGGGATGAAGCAGCCACCGGCTGGCCAGCGGCTGTCAGGGAAAGAGAGAAACCCAGGACGACTCCCAGATTTAAGGCTGGAGCAACCCATTGGCCGTTCATGCTGAAGGTGCTCCCGCGGCCCAAGAAGGGCGATCTGAGAGAGGCCTGAGGGGTGGTCATGTGTGAGGTTAGACGTGCCAGGAGAGGGGTGACCAGACGGCTGGCGAGGTCGGGGGTGGGGGGGGCTGGGTCAGGGAGATTGGAACTTGGCAGGAAACTGGAACGCAGACAGGAGCTGAGGCCTGAGCATAGCCCGGCTGACACTTAGAGGCCCCAGAGGAGACAGATGGGGCGGGGGAGATGGTGACAGAATTGACTACCAGCTTTGGTGAGAGGGACCACCAATGACCTAGGAAAGAGCCATCTCCAGGGAAGGTGGGAACAGAGAGGAATAGGGTGGGCTGGGCCGTGCGGAGCATGGGAGGCCAGGAAGCGGGGAGAAGTGAATCCTCAGAATTTTGCTGGGTACGGGGACACAAGGAGCCAGGGAAACACGTATGCACAGGTGAAGCCAAACACACTCCCACGGTCACAGACAGGGACAGACACACTGTCACACGTGGGGATCAGATGGGCCCTCTGTGACACAGGCACACACAGGGACCTAAACCAGGGCTGTTAAACACAGCCACACACTGGCTGCAGGTCTGCTGGGCACAGACTGCGCCAGAGTTCCTGGAGTCCCCTTACCCTGTGACAGGACCTCTATGGGGTGAAG